GCACCTGTGCACACTGTTGACGGCTATTTCAGTTCTGAAGTCTGATGTTGGTACTACTTTTCTAACAAAACAAACCCCCTCATACCTGCCGATATTTAGCATCAACTTTCTGGTTTACATCTCCGACACTTTTGCCGGAAGGAAACGCATCACTGTCAAGATCGAGATTCACAGGAAGGCCTTTTGATGGTGGGTCTGGGCCAGGGTTTTCCACACCAGTACCCTGAACGATTTTGGAAATAAAATTACAGACAGATATTAACTTAAATTACGAACACATGAATACATGGTGAATTTATTTAAGCTTCAACTCTATCAAAAGGGACTGTGTCTTTTAATTTCTACCTTGAACTGAAACCGTGTTTGCCTGCGGACAAAGCTACATCAAACACACCGTGGTCTATTGCAAGTGTGCGATACTGCATGTACTGTGCGCTATGTACATTGTACATGCATCGTTCTGGCGATGACGTCATCCAATCAGCCTGGGAGTGCAAATGGCCAGAAGGGGATTTTTGTGGGCGGGGAAACGCAGGATCTTTTTATTTGTTTTGTGGTCACAATTAATGGGGTGAACATTAAATTAATGATGTTTTTGAAATGATTACGTATTTATTGTTATTTTGAAATACTTCATGCGAACTAAATGTTTTCTATTTCTGTAACCCTTTAAAGGATGAGAATCTAAGGAAAATCTAGGTTTGGAACTCGAGCCCTTACTCGAGCCCTTACTCGAGCCCTTACTTGAGCCAGTTTCTCTGCTAGCATTGAGTACTGTTGGAGGTAGGCATCTAATGTATGTGGACCATACATGGTTGACGCCCCTTCATATCGCTGAGCCTACGAGAAAAATAGTCATCAAATAAGAAAAAATGTTGAGATTTTAAGGTGAATTTATCAATTTGTTTTCCCTATCATTTAAATTTAATGGCAGGGAAAAACTGAACTTTCTTTGTCAAGATCTGAGTATCAGGCATGTGCTTTATTGCCAGAGATTTTAAATGGTGTCATCAGCACTATACATTTCTGCAAAATAAATGATATCCCTTAGTGATAGAATTTTATGATGTACACCAATATCATTATTGGTAATTACCAATCATGAAATTGGCTTATATCACAAAATTCTGCCAGTTTGAAAGCTACTGCAAAAAAAAAGTGAATTCATCCTTGCAAAAGACTCATTGCACACACTTAGAAAAATCAGTAACATACCCGGTATTCTTCAAAGGTGGTCACATAGTTTGTATAGGTGTTTGACAGACTCGTGATCATGGTCACCACATTACTACTCATTCCGCTGTCCATCAGTTTCTGTTGAGAAAGAAAGGTGAAGCAGAAAGAAAATATTATCTCGTCACTAGATACCAAAGTTGTCACCTCATTTAACAGACCTTGGCTGTAAACAACATTCCACGCAAAAAGGAATGTCAATCATATCCGCCCCGAGCTGAAAATTTGGTTCCAACACCAAATTCCAGGGTTGGCAATTTTTTTCAATTTTTGTTTATGGTTAAAAATCAGATTTTTTTATTTTTGTGAAAATTGGAGACAAGTCGGCTCAATCATCTATTCAAAAGCAAGTTTTTTTATTCATCTCTTTTGTTACAAAATTAAACAAATCTGGATTTGAATTGAGACATTTCGTGGTGTGCCTGGCAAAAGGTCGTAAGCACTTATGTCCTTGCTTCCAGGCACCGGACAATTTAAAACATGTAATTTTTGATTAAATTCACAAACCACGTTGAATATTGTCTAAGTTCAGGTGTAACACATGCAGTATAGCACCTAGCAGTACGTGTACAATGTGCCTGCTGAAGACTCTTCCTTCATAGACAAGTACTGGTACATACATTGTACAGTACCGAGGATGAAGTGCATACCCAATTTTAAACCGAACTTTACAGTTTTGACAAAACTAGAGTTCATAAGAATTTGTTAACAGATTGCTCATACATATGTCTGATAACCAAAGATCATATAGCGCCGAAGGCACAAGATGGATAACTCTGCCCAAAAGGTGTAATTACCATGGGCACCATTTGAGCAAGCGATACGCCTGCGCAGTTTACCGTAATGCTTGGGTGCAGGCTCACCAGGTGCACGTGCCTGCCACAGCGCCTGCGCCTATGCAGTAATGTGTACTGCCCAGGCATATCGCTTGCTCAAATGGCGCCTATGCGATTACAACGTTTTACATGTATTCGTGGTGAAGTTCTCCATCTTGCGCCGGTACTCGGCGCTATACGATCTTAGCTGATAACTAATGAGTAATGAACATGCTACCAACCACACGTACATGTATTGATTTGAAACGGTACATGAAGTGTATGCACAAAATTTCACCTCAGGTGCTCTAATGTGCGCAAAAAGCGGTTTTGTTTTGTCTGTAATCCATCTCCTTTGTGATTAATATTATTAACATTTTGATATTAATATTAAAACTCACTTCATCAAGAGCATGTTGTTATTGGTTTTAGTTTCACCGCCTGATGACCAACATTTCTAATCTCAATAAAACACCTGTATTTGCAGAAGGTTAACGGCTGCTGATACTTTATCATGTCAGACTCTGAAGTGGGTAACTTAAACATGAAGTGAAATTAAATCAGGATTATAAATCCTTCACATCAAATTTATACACTGAATCCAAAAAGCTGATTTGAATGCAAACAAGCCGATTGAATTGAGGAAAAAAAATCCTACTAACCAAACTGTAACACTTGTGCATTCATCCTTCTTATCAATACTACAAACTCAAAGGCTCACAGAGAGGGGGATTTAAAAATGTGCAAAACTTGTAAAAATTACTAATCGGTTGAACAGAATTGAAAACTTGAAACATTTTTGCCTGTTTTCCAAAAGAATTTAACGGAAATTTAAATCAGTGATTTTTTTCTAATCAGTTGATTTCGATTGTGATTTAAATCAATGATTTAAATAAAGGTGGTTTACATATAAATCCGCCAATTCTGCCAAATTTTAAACGGCTTATAGCTTATCCTCAGAGGCAACTGAACAAATTGAAATGTGCACTGTACCTCTTTAACTTTATCCATCATTCGTCTTCCTGACATTGTTCTGCATGGACAAAAATTCAAATTAAATTCATGTTATTCATTGACGGTAATTTGTACTTCATGCAGAAACTTCCAGCTAGGTTATCGTTAAGAATTACATCAATGCTTACGAACCAATATCACTTCCAAGTACCTGTACTTATCTTGTGTATCACCATGATATCACCTACCAATCATCACACTAATTGGATCAAGGCCTCAGCAATGCAGACTGTACGATGCAAAGCTGTACCTTCTGGCGGCAATGTTATGTTATGTTCAGAAAATTTTAATTTCCCTCAACCCAAGGCCTAGATATGCTATTGTACTTCTGTGAATGAGTGCGTTGTCAGCAGCACATTAGGTTTATTAGGAACAGCATTTTTTTGGTTCATTTTAATGGAGAGGGAGGGGAAGATAATTATGGTGTTCATTAAAATATGACAGAAAACTCACGTGATCTCTGCTGGGGCTGGAATGATGACAAATTGGCCGATGCGCAAAAGCTGCGTTTCTACAATGTCTGGCGCCATTGGATCACTAGCCACTAGATTAACAATTAGCTTAATTGCTTCAGGCATATTCTGTCAAAGAACACGATCAACATCACATGGAACTGTTAACACTGGTTTATTCTTTCCCAGAAATGCATGATTGCAATACAAGAAATTCAATTTTAAAACGCATTTTTTTCTGAAATGTTAATAACCTAATAACTGCATCAGTAACCGACAATATCTTATCAAATATATGTACAACATACATCTACAAAGGGTCCTGAGATAAGATTCAAGCAAACCCCTTGTTTAATTGTTTCATAAAACTTGAAAACCTGCTTAAATTGCACTAATGAGCCAGTTCCTTTGTTCATAAAATGCACGGTCATTTGAGGACAAGGCCCACCAACTTGACCAGTAGATGTTCAGTGCATGTGAGCCTGTATACAGCCTCACTGATAGGTCTTGTGCATGAACATCATTGCTGTTAATGATCTACCATTATGACACTGCACTTCATTCCAGCATGCACGGTTGAATACCAAACTGACTCACAGAAATCTGGCTGTTTGCTTCATATGCAAAGTTGATACTGTAATACTGCCTACAAATCTGTCCAGTAACAGACCTTTCAGCAATCTGTTCATTCACAACAATATGTGAATAGTTTTACCACACTAGCTTTCTCACACCTACATACAACAGGGTGATATTGCTGTTGGACATCAGTGTCCAATCAGTTTAATACATCAATGCCTGAACATGAGTACAATTTGTAAAATTGTGCAAAGGGAATGTAAAGTGAAGCATTTGACAACCAGTTCTACTTCTCACACTGTTCTTAAGAGCGTGCAACCAGCACTGGCATGACCAGCATGTTTTTTCCAAGAGGGGTGCAGGGGTCAAAGCACTCATCAGCCTCAAACTGACAAACTATGGAATGTGTGGAAGGGGGTCAGTTTCGAGGTATTTTCAAGCAAATTGTTATTTTCTTTTGCATTTTTTTCTATTTCCCATTTTTCATTTTTTTCGGAGAGGGGGTCAACCATCTCTTTTCATGTACATTGAGCCTAAACCCCTAGGGTGTAAATGCACGTAAAATCATATTGAATTGGAGGAATGAGGATTGTTAGGACTAATGATTAACCACTTCCTGCCGGGGACTCCGGAATCGGAGACGTATGCTTTATATGCATGGCCGGGGTCTCCGAACTCGGACAAAGGAAACAGGGCCCTGTAACAAAAAAACGTACTCCGAACAAAAGACCAGGCTGCTGGGCATTATCGACATTTTCACTCTCAAAAGTGGTGATAATCTAGCCTTGTTTTGAAACCGTATACTAGGGTTTGGGGCATTTATGGCAAAGGGATTACCACCAGGGACAAAAGCACTCCCCCACGCTAATCTGGCCCCTATTGAAAAGAGGTCAGCATTGCCTTGAGCAAGATTCATGAACATGAGAAAGTTACATAACACCGCACACTCTGGGCTCTTTTTACAAGGCTGCAGGCCTGGCTGAAATACTTCGGCGTCAATAAAGGTCACCTATCAACTTAGAGTAGTGCCTAAAGATTACTTTGTGCGGCTATAAACGTCCGTTAAATGAAATGATAAATTTTTGAACAATTTTGAAAACGGAAAAAATGATAATTATGCCGGCCCAGCATCATCGACATTGAAAAATGCCCCGGCATGAAGTGGTTAAAACAATTCACTTACAGTTGTGTTGAGATAGTCCCCGACAGGAAGAAGCACAGGTTTTGGTTGTTGGCAGTCTTGGGTTTCTTCGTAATCATTGAAGAGTGAACGAACAAGACCATCCCAAAAGGGTGAACCTTCCGTCATCCCTGGGTCCCCAAATCAATAATCAAACAGAAAAGCTTGGGTTAAAGGGTTGTTTCTACATATCCCGTCACAGTTTCATCCGTTACCAATATTTCAGGAAAACAGTTTGGAGAGCTGAAGACGAGAGAAAGTTGTGGAATATGAGCACGATGAGTTTACATGTACTTACCATTGATGAATGATTCTGCCAGCAGAGCATGAATATGCACAAATTTGATGAGTCATCTGATTGGCTGATGGAATGAGCCATGATTTGAATGTTGTCATGACAGCTTTGAGCTTGAATCAGTGACATGAGAAGACATCTTTTGAAAAGAAATAAATACATATATTTGACATTTTCTAGAAGGGATACAGTTGTTAATAACAGTTTCAATTTATTTAACTTCAAAAAAGGTCTATGCACACAAAGAAAGTGTATTACTAAGGGAGGAACTGCAAATCTACGGAGTCGTGCGACTTGGTCGCTTTAAATTAAGTTTTCATCCAACACCCGGAAGGGAATTCTCCTGTTTTTTCCC